TAGTAGGCTTTGAACAGCTTGGAAAGTTCAAATGTTGTTGTTTTATTTGGGTTAAACTTTATGTTAAACTTACTTGTAACATTGAGCTTAGAACTACAATATGGCATGTTTTTGATTTTGTTTTGAAGACAAGACTTGATTTACAACCGGATTTTCGCCCATATTGCAATAAGTATGACGCCCAATTTGTATCAAATGACTTTCCGGTCATATTAAACATATATTTTTTATCTGGCCAGTAAATTAATTAGACACCCCGTCCGGGCGGTCGCATCTTTGATCAAAAGAGAAGGTTGACCATGGAAAAAATTGAGCTTGTTATTGATGGGATTTCCGATGGATAATTGAACTAAAAATAACAAGGAGCAAAATAACATAGAAAAAATTGCAAAAAAATTCCGACCATTGTTATTTTTACTGCAAAAAAAAAGAGTAAAAAATAACAAGAAATAGATATTTTCCCCAAAAAAAAAGGAAAATTCAATCAAATGTTTCAAATTTTTTACGCTAAAAGATTGATTTGATCTGCGGCCTAGAATATTCCTATAGAATAAATAATAATGAGCAATTACTTACAACAACAGTTACGACCTAATTTCAAAAAGGGTAGAGAAAGTCTCGGTATTCAAACACCTTTTTAAACTCTTTTCAAGAATTTGAATAACGACCAAAACGTAGTTGATATTTGATCCAAAGTTTCTTATAATTTCTATTCTTGGCAGACGGAAAAAAAACATTGTTTCAAAGATTCCTGAAATTTCGTATCCACAGTATAACTCATCCTATTGGTTATTGATCCATTTCGATTAGGAAATCAATTTAATTCTAACTTGGATATTATGATTCTATATTGTTTTAATTTTAGTTTTTCAATTAGTGCGAATATAAGTATTTTACAATTAGTGCTAATCAAGTTTAATTGAATTGAAATATTAGAGTGTGGAGAACCCTATTTTGGTAAATCAACGGTATTACCATTCTTGGCAGATAGAATTAGTTAGTTGTATCAAAAATTTCCTATGGTCTGGTATTCATTTTAAGAGTCATCCTCAATATAGAATCCGCGGTGGCTTCTTTATTCAGACCATATAATCCGATCGAAATAATGGTTCTGGAAAACAATTTATATCCTAATTAAATTATTCACACTAAAAAATCAAATTTATAAAAATTATATTTTACGTGCAATATGTCTTGGTAAAATTTAGTGGTTTGCTCTTTGGTAATGTTCTGAAAAATGTTGGCGCGCTTTGAAGATTTTTCATTGATATTAGAAGATCAATTGAGGTCTTTATTGTAGTTCAGTATTATATCGCACTCCAAAATTCTCCGAATTGAATTGAGGCAAACTATTTGGTTTTTTCCCTAATGACTCAATGCTTAACACTTACCAGTTTATTTGTGTTGCTTGCGTTGAAAAACAAAAAATTAAAAACTTATAATTTGCCAAAAATTTCTTTGCCAAGTTATTTGAGACCATTTACACGTCAATCTGAACATTCAGGGCTTTGCCTTCAATGAAAATCAATCTTGTTTTTCCGTCTTTCGAAAAAAGTGACGGAATATTTGTTTCCGGGAGCATTTTTGGGTAGTTTTTCGATATTAAATTAGGCTTTTTTAGTGAGTTTTTATAGAATCTGAAAGATATATATTTATATTTTTGGCTCAAATAAAAAAAATTAACCTGTGATAATTTGTAAGGGTTTTATGGAGATTCAAAAATAGCTAATTTGGCCAGTTAGCGACAGTTAACGCGCAATTTTTTTTTCCATTAACGCGTAAGCGGCAAAAAAAATCACGTTAACAAAACAGTCCATAGTGAATTACGGTGGGCTATTTGTCCTAATTATTTCTTTTTGTTTGATCATCATTGAAAAAAGTTTGATCATCATTGAAAAAAGTGAAACCTTTTCGTAGACGTTATTGTCCGAGTCGAGCTGCTTATTTTATGTTCCGACCATCTCGCCCAAAAATTGGTATTTTTCGATCACTTCAACAAAGTTCGGTGTTTTTCGACCTCACTCCAACAACATTCGTTTTTTTGACCGTGCTCGACCGAAGCACATGTACTCGACCGTGCTCGACCCAAGCAAGATATGTTTCGACCAAGCTCGACCGACAAAAAAGTGATCGACCGTGCTCAACTTAAGCAAGATATTTTCGAGTGTGTTTCGACTTTCAAACAACATCAGTTATCCAAATTTATACGTTATAATTTATACTTTTCGGGTGAAATCTTTTGATGCTTTTCTAGTAGAATGAAAAAACCTATTTGCAACTTAAATGCTTCGTAGAATTGAGTTATTTGCAACTTAAATGTATTTTGAGCTTTCTTTTCCATCTTTTGGAATAATGTTTTGCAATGTGGTTCGAAAACTTTCCATAACATGTATGTTGATATTTGAAAGAAAAATTTCTTTTTGACTCCAATTACCGCGTGACAATCTGCATATTTCGACCGTGCTCAAAGTATGCTTTGACCGTGCTCGGCCGTGCTCGAAAAATGTTTTGACCGTACTCGGGTTCCGTTTCGAATTTATGCTCAACCTAAACCCCTGTCTCGACTATTCTTTTTCGGTCGAGCACTGATATGTGCTCGAATTTGAAAGTTGAAACATACGGTGAGCAGTCGGTAGGAAGTCGAAACATTCAGGGCGTTGCCCAAATATGATTATTCTTGTTCGTTATGGATCTACATCATGGAAAAAGCAAGAACTAATTTGAAATAGGGTTGAACTGTCGTAATTGCATGGCATGAATATATGACATGGAATGAAAATACAGTAGGCTGAATGACGTAAGCTACATCGGATTTTTTTTCTTTCAATTCTACTTCGATCTGTTTGTCTAAGAAACTAATGAACACGAACAACAAAGGTGAAGCTTTTGCTTGAAATGAAAGTGATAAAAATGATTAATCAATTCTCCTGACTGATTCTCCTGACTGGTAAAATTGCTGTATAAAACAGTCTTTTTGAGTTAACTATTGTCTCAATGTTTCCCTAAGAAACAAAAGTTTTAAATGGAAAGCGAAAAAAAAACAAACGCTTGGAAAAGAGCAATTTTGGTTAGAACAGTTTGATGAAGTGAGCCGAAATGTTCCAAAACTAAGCCGCTGGTTTGCAAAAATTAGTTAATTATGACTGATTAACAAAAAATCATTCACCTTTGACTGTTAACAGTTATCACCGCTTCGGATACTTTTTTTTCTATTACTAGCTTCCTTTTCTGATTATTAGCACAATTTGTGCTAGCTTCTTTTGAAAATAGGAAAAATTACTAAATATGACTTACTGATGCAATGGAACTTCTGAATGAATTACCGTGAATCACAATAACTCAGTTAGTTTTCAGTTTTCTGCTGATTTCAAAATTGTCAACTAAAATTGAAAGTTGATATGGCTAAAGATAGCAAAAAAAGCAAAAAAAAATTAGTAGTGAATTTGAGTAGATTATAAATTATAAGGCCAGTTTGAATCACAAATAGTACAAGTGGAAAAGCAACATTTTAAAAATTTATTTCAGCCAGTTTCGGGGCTGAGCTGCATAACCAGAGAATTCGAAACAAGGAGAATGCTTGTATGAAACTAAGCATGTCGAGCATTTTTTACTGGTCTACGAAGTTTTACTGTTAACGAAAATTTTCTACTAATCTACAAAAAACTCGAAGAAAAAAATTTGTTAACTAACATCCACCCCATTATGTACCCAGTCAAAAGTTTTCGTCCCGGTAGATAAAAACTCGCGACGATTACACATGCACCAAAACCCCATGTTTTGCATTAGACGGAGAGATAGGTTATAAAAATCATTTTTTTGTCGGAAATCTTCTTATGCACAACTTCAGATTTGTGACAGGAGGAAAATCACTGAAAAAAAAAAACAAAAACCACACGGATTGTTTGGGTGAAAACAGAAATTTAATTTTTTGTTTCTATGTGGTGAGATAACTTAAATTTTTCACTCACTGATTTTGGACAAAAAATTCATTAACTCTTGCAAAAGACAAAAATAAAAAGCTGAACACAAATGAAACAAAAAATATGAACTAGTTTGAAGAGCTGGCTGATACAGTTTTTTGTCAGTGATATAAACACATAGAGTTCGCAACAAAAACTATCAGTCTTTTGCTGATGATAAAAAATTATTCATAATAGTTACATTAAACAAAAAAAACTTGAATATATTTTTTTATTAATCAACTTGATTACTTGATACATTATAAATTCGTTATGAATCACATATATTCAAATTTACAAAAAACAAGGGTTCCATGTTCCATTATACCGTTTAAAGGTTGGAGAAAATAAAAATTGAGCTTCGTTTTTTATTTTTAATTCGAGTAGTTGAAACAGTGAAATTTCAGCATGGATCATTTGGATTTCAAATTATAAAACAGCAAACGTTTTGAATAATAGTAAAGATTTAAAAATCCAGTTTAGGTTATTTTCACCAATTCAAACAGCTGATTTAGTGTAATTACACTATGAATCACATTTGGTTCAAATTATAAATGGTTATGCATAAGTTTAAACTTAACAAAGTTTTAAAATTTGTTTTTATCAATTATTTAGCTGATATAGCTTTAGTGTCAATATGGATTGCATTGAGTTCAAAATGTTAATAGTTTACGTGAAATGATATTTAAAATCTTTACAGATTTAGCTTTTGTTAACAATTCGAGCAGATGATCCCATGTAATCACATTATGAATCACCTATGGCTCAATTTATAAATAGTTATGCTACATAATTTATAAATAGGTATTTTTAAAACTAATGAAATATGAGTATTTTTTCTCACCAATTTGATAAATTGTTTCAGTGTAGAATTTTTGGCTGAATTGTATATAGTTCACGTTATTATGATTTATTTACGTGTAAGATAACAAAAAAATTTACCAGTTTTTATTTACCAATTTGAGTTGATACTGTGTAATTACAGTATGAATTACAATAACAGTAGTGATGATTTTGTTGAAAAAAAATTTTGTTCCTTACCAACTCGAGTAGCTGATATAATGTAATATCAGTGTTAATCACAAATGGCTGCGACTGGTTCTGATTCGGAATTGCCCTTCTGCTGTACCCGTTGAGTAGTTTATGTTCCAGGTAGAAACTGGCATTAGTCACTGCTGTCTTGGGAAGGGGCAGGATCTCGCCGTAGCTCTCCGGCACTGGGTTGATGCCTGGAACAGAGAACAAAATACAATAATCGTAATTATTGATGTAAAAAATAGACATTTAATTAAAACCTGATAGTTAAAATTGTCATTTTATGAAAAATATACAAAATGACTTTGGTCGTAAATTCGTGACCTGATTGATACTAAAATACTGTTTTTCATTTATAATTTAATGGTTAATTTTAATATGAAGGATATTTTAGCTTTTTGTGGAATTAATTCGAAAACCAGTGGTAAGCTTTTGCATATGGGGGGGGGGGGGGGGGGAGCGACCGGGGAGACGGTATCGGACCATCCACCCCCTCTCCCTCTACTCAAGTGTCTGGGAAAGTTACACTATTACTTTATCTACTCTAGAGCAATCGATAATTCTAATTTCGAACAATTGACCCAAAAACTTTTCGTGATGAAAGCTATTGCATTAACCATATACGAATCATGACAAAAGAGCCTTCAAAAAAGTCAAATTTTTGAAAACACACTCCAAATATTTTGTAAAAAAGACGAGTTCCTGAGCTTCTCTACAATAACGAGATTCCTTTGACATGTTTAAATTTTTTGAACAAAAAAACAACAAGCTCAAAAATATATTTAATTTTACGAAAATTTCCTTCTTTTTGGAGAATTGGATCCTAAATTGTATTATATTTGACAATTTAAGAAAATTTTGTTCAGGTCATTCACATTTACACATTGCTCAATCACGTCTGCTTAAATTGGATCTGAACTAGTTATTGTTCCGACTTTCGATACGAAAGTAACGGAATATTTGTGCTCGGGGTGGGTTTTTTTTTTCTTCAGACAAATTTCGACTTTTTAACTAGCCATTTTTGACGGAATTTTTTTATATCATTCGAAAGGTATTTTTGTCCTGAGCTCAAATTTGAAAAGATATTTCACCTGTGATCAATTTTCTTAAAGTTACTGGGTTTTAAAGATTGCCATTTTGGCCAATTTGGGACAATCAACGCGCGATATATTTCGCGCTATTAACGCGTAAGCGGAGAGTTAATCCGTCTTATAAATCGTTCCAAATTGGTTGAAAGAAGCTTGTTTGCCATAATTGGTTTGTTACAAGGAGCGAAATTTATCCTTTTGTACTTTATATGGCGTGTGGGGGGGATGATTTTCATAAAAAATTTTAATTTTTAGAAAAAATTTTTTTCATTTTGTTTTATTTCATTGAATTTTTTAATGTTATTACTGCTCCATAAACCTTAAAGGGAAGTCGGAACATTCAGGGCTTCGCCCTGATGCGAGCAGTCTTGTTAATTGTGTATATAAATAGTTGCTATAAAATGGCAAGGATATCAAGCTGCTATTCTACCGAAGCAGTTATTGTTCCGACTTTCGATACGAAAGTAACGGAATAATTGTGCTCGGGGTGGGTTTTTTTTTCTTCAGACAAATTTCAACTTTTTAACTAGCCATTTTTGACGGATTTTTTTTTATATCATTCGAAAACTATTGTTGTCTTGAGCTCAAATTTGAAAAGATATTTCACTTGTGATCATTTTTCGTAAAGTTACGGGGGTTTAAAGATTGCCATTTTGGTCAATTTGGGACAATTAACGCGCGATATATTTAGCGCTAATAACGCGTAAGCGGAGAGTTAATCCGTCTTAGAAATCGTTCCAAATTGATTAAAAGAAGCTTGTTTGCCATAATTGGTTTGTTACAAGGAGCGAAATTTATCCTTTTGTACTTTATATGGCGTGTGGGGGGGGATGATTTTCATAAAAAATTTGAAATTTTAGAAAAAAAATTTTTCATTTTGATTTATTTCATTGAATTTTTCAATGTTATTACTGCTCCATAAACCTTAAAGGGCAGTCGGAACATTCAGGGCTTCGCCCTGTTACGAGCAGTCTTGTTAATTGTGTATATAAATAGTTGCTATAAAATGGCAAGGATATCAAGCTGCTATTCTACCGAAGCAGTTATTGTTCCGACTTTCGATACAAAAGTAACGGAATATTTGTGCTCGGGGTGGATTTTATTTTCTTCAGACAAATTTCGACTTTTTAACTAGCCATTTTTGACGGATTTTTTTAATATATCATTCGAAAGCTATTGTTGTCTTGAGCTCAAATTTGAAAAGATATTTCACTTGTGATCATTTTTCGTAAAGTTACGGGGGTTTAAAGATTGCCATTTTGGTCAATTTGGGACAATTAACGCGCGATACAATTAACGCGCGATACATTTCGCGCTAATAACGCGTAAGCGGAGAGTTAATCCGTCTTAGAAATCGTTCCAAATTGATTAAAAGAAGCTTGTTTGCCATAATTGGTTTGTTACAAGGAGCGAAATTTATCCTTTTGTACTTTATATGGCGTGTGGGGGGGATGATTTTCATAAAAAATTTGAAATTTTAGAAAAAAAATTTTTCATTTTGATTTATTTCATTGAATTTTTTAATGTTATTACTGCTCCATAAACCTTAAAGGGCAGTCGGAACATTCAGGGCTTCGCCCTGTTACGAGCAGTCTTGTTAATTGTGTATATAAATAGTTGCTATAAAATGGCAAGGATATCAAGCTGCTATTCTACCGAAGCAGTTATTGTTCCGACTTTCGATACAAAAGTAACGGAATATTTGTGCTCGGGGTGGATTTTAATTTCTTCAGACAAATTTCGACTTTTTAACTAGCCATTTTTGACGGATTTTTTTAATATATCATTCGAAAGCTATTGTTGTCTTGAGCTCAAATTTGAAAAGATATTTCACTTGTGATCATTTTTTGTAAAGTTACGGGGGTTTAAAGATTGCCATTTTGGTCAATTTGGGACAATTAACGCGCCATACATTTCGCGCTAATAACGCGTAAGCGGTGAGTTAATCCGTCTTAGAAATCGTTCCAAATTGGTTAAAAGAAGCTTGTTTGCCATAATTGGTTTGTTACAAGGAGCGAAATTTATCCTTTTGTACTTTATATGGCGTGTGGGGGGGGATGATTTTCATAAAAAATTTTAAATTTTAGAAAAAATTTTTTTCATTTTGTTTTATTTCATTGAATTTTTTAATGTTATTACTGCTCCATAAACCTTAAAGGGCAGTCGGAACATTCAGGGCTTCGCCCTGATACGAGCAGTCTTGTTAATTGTGTATATAAACAGTTGCTATAAAAAGGCAAGGATATCAAGCTGCTATTCTACCGAAGCAGTTATTGTTCCGACTTTCGATAGGAAAGTAACGGAATATTTGTGCTCGGGGTGGGTTTTTTTTTCTTCAGACAAATTTCGACTTTTTAACTAGCCATTTTGACGGATTTTTTTAATATATCATTCGAAAGCTATTGTTGTCTTGAGCTCAAATTTGAAAAGATATTTCACTTGTGATCATTTTTCGTAAAGTTACGGGGGTTTAAAGATTGCCATTTTGGTCAATTTGGGACAATTAACGCGCGATAGATTTCGCGCTAATAACGCGTAAGCGGAGAGTTAATCCGTCTTAGAAATCATTCCAAATTGGTTGAACGAAGCTTATTTGCCATAATTGATTTGTTACAAGGAGCGAAATTTATCCTTTTGTACTTTATATGGCGTGTGGGGGGGATGATTTTCAAAAAAAAATTTAAATTTTAGAAAATTTTTTTTTCATTTTGTTTTATTTCATTGAATTTTTAAAGGTTATTACTGCTCCATAAACCTTAAAGGGCAGTCGGAACATTCAGCGCTTCGCCTTGATACGAGCAGTCTTGTTAATTGTGTATATAAATAGTTGCTATAAAATGGCAAGGATATCAAGCTGCTATTCTACCGAAGCAGTTATTGTTCCGACTTTCGATACGAAAGTAACGAAATATTTGTGCTCGGGGTGGGTTTTTTTTTCTTCAGACAAATTTCGACTTTTTAACTAGCCATTTTTGACGGAATTTTTTTATATCATTCAAAAGTCATTGTTGTCCTGAGCTTAAATTTGAAAATATATTTCACCTGTGATCATTTTTCGTAAATTTATGAGGGTTTAAAGATTGCCATTTTGGCCATTTTGACCAATTTGGGACAATTAACGCGCAATATAGTTCGCGCTATTAACGCGTAAGCGGAGATTTAATCCGTCTTATAAATCGTACCAAATTGGTTGAACGAAGCTTATTTGCCATAATTGATTTGTTACAAGGAGCGAAATTTATCCTTTTGTACTTTATATGGCGTGTGGGGGGGGGATGATTTTCATAAAAAAATTTAAATTTTAGAAATTTTTTTTTCATTTTGTTTTATTTCATTGAATTTTTTAATGTTATTACTGCTCCATAAACCTTAAAGGGCAGTCGGAACATTCAGGGCTTCGCCCTGATACGAGCAGTCTTGTTAATTGTGTATATAAATGGTTGCTATAAAATGGCAAGGATATCAAGCTGCTATTCTACCGAAGCAGTTATTGTTCCGACTTTCGATACGAAAGTAACGAAATATTTGTGCTCGGGGTGGGTTTTTTTTTTCTTCAGACAAATTTCGACTTTTTAACTAGCCATTTTTGACAGAATTTTTTTATATCATTCAAAAGTCATTGTTGTCCTGAGCTTAAATTTGAAAAGATATTTCACCTGTGATCATTTTTCGTAAATTTATGAGGGTTTAAAGATTGCCATTTTGGCCATTCTGACCAATTTGGGACAATTAACGCGCAATATAGTTCGCGCTATTAACGCGTAAGCGGAGATTTAATCCGTCTGATAAATCGTTCCAAATTGGTTGAACGAAGCTTATTTGCCATAATTGATTTGTTACAAGGAGCGAATTTTATCCTTTTGTAGTTTATATGGCGTGTGGGGGGGATGATTTTCATAAAAAAATTTAAATTTTAGAAATTTTTTTTTTCATTTTGTTTTATTTCATTGAATTTTTTAATGTTATTACTGCTCCATAAACCTTAAAGGGCAGTCGGAACATTCAGGGCTTCGCCCTGATACGAGCAGTCTTGTTAATTGTGTATATAAATAGTTGCTATAAAATGGCAAGGATATCAAGCTGCTATTCTACCGAAGCAGTTATTG